GCAACAGATGCAACTGAGCGTAGTGCGGGAGATCCATCCAGGGTTGCGGCGAAATGGGGTTGCGAGTGGTATGATAGGGTGGCGTTCGCGCCAGAAGCTAATAGATTTAATGTGGAAGAGCCACAATTCTTCAACGCCAACTAGCTACAAAAACACTTCTGCTACAAATCCGGCAGCTAGAAGCCAGAAACTTGGTAGTCACACGCATCGTCACAATGTGCTTCTCCTGCACTACATGCCATTCAGAAGGAAGGCTGAGGAATGGATTTCTCTTGGAGCAAACGGTTGCGAAACATTCTTAACTGGCGATTGCCTCAAGGCAGATAAAATTGGGCTCGAATGGTAAATGGTTTGCGTTCGAATTCTAAGACAATGCATGGGCTAAGATGACCACTTATACCCACGGTTCAAAACTCGAAATGTTCCTGAAGGGTTATAGCAGCGAGCTGAGCCGAAAAACCTGCCCGATGACGGACAAGACACAGCCGCGTTGCACGACTAATGTGAAGGACATGGTTCTAGTCGCCCTGCTCCTTATTGTCCAACTTTTTGGAGTTCGAGCCCGGTTTCATAGAACGTTGTTCCCGAGAGCCGACTGACCCGGAATACAAATATGACTACGTTTGTCACGAAATTTTGAGGACGATAGCGCTGAAGCGCCGAGGATAAACGTCTCGCTACTGCCACACACTGTTGCTCAAAACGGATGTTATCGCCTTCAGGAAGTCAAATAACCCTGACACATTTCTGTGTCACGATTGCAACCCGAAACTTGGAAACTGTACAGCACGCACAGTTACGTAACATCTTGCACTTTGTGCATGGTCTTGTTGCAAAACAATCTCCGACAGGTAGAGGACAGGGACTCCCGAAGCATCGTAAGGGATAAAAAATGTGACGAGCCACGAAACGGTTTTTTCCCAGAGGTAAGGACTCCTGGGTGGAAGCCATAAATCATTGTCAAAAGCTGGAATATGGGAGGTTACAGTGACAGTAGAAAGCCATTCGGACAAAATGGTGCTGAGAAAAACAGAAGACTGATGCAATCAACGGGATTACCTTCAAGTTGTCCGTGGACTGGATTCTCGTCGCCTGACACCGCTAGCGGCCTCATCTTTGCTGCAGTCGATGGGTGTAGGGGGTGGGTCATTTCGGCAAAGTATTTTCTAGCTGGTTAGCTAGGCAACCACGTGCACAGGGAGAGCTATTCTACTTGATAGACGCAGACGCAGAGAGAGTCGACACGTTGCAACACATACGCTGGGTGAATAGGGTCCTGGTGCGAATGCCGCCCAGGTCTCCCCCATGCAACGCTTGTCAGGGCACAGCGTTCGATGGGGATTCCCCTATGGGGGGTCCTACTTAAGGCCGATCCAAAAAAAGGGGGGGTCGTAAAAGCTCGAGCAAAATCTCCATCGAATGCTGTGCCCTGACGCTTGTTACCGCACACTTTCAGCGATTGATGTTAGCTGGCTGCAGGTTCTCCAGCGGAACTGCCTTGTGCTGACCATTACTGATTGGTAACTGATCCGAAGATAAGGATCGAATGGATGATTCAAATGATATAAGGGAAAGAATGAGAGCTAGTGTGGAATCAGATTATTCGTAATAACCGCAGAACGTGGAGCTAAATGTCCAAGGGGGGGGGGGGGTAGAAGCTGGAATCAACCGAAAGTGAAACTCCCCTCTACTGCCTGTATGACTGAACCAAATGAAAAACTAATTATTTGTCATAACTATATCACCACAAAGGAACAGCTAGCCCAGCCGCTATAATCATAACAACTGAACAAAACCAACATGTAGATTAGAAGCGAAAATGATTTTGAACCATTTTAGTGGTCTCCCCTACCCACAACCGACTGCACAAGCGATTGGTTCACCGCCATGGTAGTGATTTCTGTATATTGTGATATTTTGAAACCTACCTGTAAAGACAATAAAACAAGTTGCTCACTTAGGGTTGTATACTCAGTTCCAATCACAAGATATTGACGACGACCGCGGGCACAGGAATGCGCCCAAGTTCCGCAACAATCTTCAAAAGTCCTCTATAAAATCTGAAGAAAAAAGACGTTTGCCACTGGAAATCGAGAGCAAGAAAATCTCCGGAATTTTAACGATTTACACATTCGAGTTCCTAATGATTTGCAATAACAAAAAAAGAAAAATCCGGTACCAGAAAAATATTGACCATGTACCGTAATAGGTGAAATCAGTCGCGGTGTGTTTTGTGGGCGCGGCTTTGGCGTGACGCCAGCCCGTTCACCGTCGATCGTGGCTGCTTTGAGCATACAATGAGTTGAGGGGAAGGTGCTGGCGCCACGCCAAAATCCACGCCCTGATTGACTTTAGCGATATCAACTGCCCTGACTGAACCACCACGCCTTAGCATGAAAGAGACAGTATCGAGCACTAAACTATGCTTTTTCAATACCATCGAGGCAGACTTCAAAGTGAGCGTTCGGGAGATTAGGCAGCATTCAGACTAACGCGCGTTACAGCGCATCAGCGTGTTCATCGCGAAGTCTGAACGCAATTCGCAACTAATCCGCAGCGATCGGCTGCATCGCTAGTGTTGCGAACTATAAATACAATCGAAAAGGCGACCCATCTGGGTAGATACACCTCTTGTAAGAAACTAAAGTTTAACGTTTTAATGTACAACTGGGGCGAGGTCCTGGGCGTGGCAGCACGGGGTGGACTTCAGTGGCTGCCGCAGTTCGAGTCGCTTGGCCTCGGCCAACATTGCCAGCACTAATCTACGTTACACTGGCCTTTATGTCATCCGTGTTCTTATCCTGTGTTGCTTTTGCACTGATGGTTCGTCGATTACGGTTTTTCTTCCAGTCTTTTCAGCAGAATTTTGTTTCACAGCTCCTAACCCTTCAGCTTCAGAAATTTCGCTTTCTGAAAATGCGTTGTCAGGACATTTCCACATTCATCCTTCCCATGGCTATAGCATCTATTGTGGTTAGAACGGTCGGTCTCCGACGAGATTCGAGCCCAAATACGCACTTTGCGGGAACCGTTCTTAAGCTCTCGCTGCTATAATTCCACGGGTCTCCCCGAATTTTAACTTCGAGAAATTGGGTTCTACATCGCCCTGTTGAGGCAGTTTTTGTAGTAGTTCCCAAAATAAGCGCATACAGTCGATATATTGTGATTGGAATGAAGGACAGCCTCTCCCGCAAGCAATTTCGCTTACTGATGAATGCTGGTCAGGAGATCCACTCTGCGGCCGCGCTGAAAGTCCTTTTCACCAGGATCTAATTGATTTAATGTGTGTGCTACAGCACGTCGAGTTAAGTGGTTAGGAAAAGCTAGGTGGTCAAAACACATTGCCACAACGTGGATCTCCCGACCGACATCTTCTAATTGTTATGGTTCCATAATGATCCCAACAGCGTAAAAGTAAGAAAAATAATAAAGAATTTTCCAAGCGTTTCTAATCATTTATCATTTCAGCTTCAAGTTCCCAGGGACGTTCCCGAGCATGTGGTAAGTTGTGATAAGTCTTGTAGCACATCTGGGATAGTTTGAAGATTTGCATCTACTGAATCAGTGTTTTCTTTTCCAATTTGTTCCTCTGTTTCCCATTGTACACTTCCTATCCCTGAGCCAGAGTAGGCGTGGCATTTGAACATGCACGGATACCGGTTACTCGTGGAATCAACTTTCCACTGCTGGGACAACTGTCATCTTGTTCTGCGTTGGACAGAGACACGACAACAATTGTGTCAAGATGAAAATATCTCACCAGAATCACAGACACCTTCAGGTTAAGTGAAGCATGCGGCCACATCTACCCGATCTCAGGGATTTCGAGTATACTTTGTGACGGGGCGGACTCTTCTGATGATTGGCAGTACAACTGCCGTATCGTCAGAAGAGGTCCAATGCTAAGAAATTACCCCTCA